TAATGCACGCTACTGCGCATTCCATTAATTGGACGCATTCGAAACGAACGTGACGAGATACGTGTCGCTTCTTAAAGTTATTTCCCAGATTGATAATTAGACTTTAAACGAATAATTTATTATACTATTTTTAATACCTGTCGTTCTGTATTTGTCTACAAACAATTGCATCTGCTTTTTATAAGGAATGTTCACTTGTTTTCGCTTGTAAAGTAGATTATTAGTTTCCTTGCTAGTGAATGCAAATCCATTTCATATGAAAATACAGGACTAAGTGGATGTAAATCCGTAAGTCAAAGTACATAGCAACGTTACGGAATAAGAAATTGTTCTTTAAACATGAAGTTATTCTTTCACCTTTAGTATAGTTTCACTAAAAAACAGAGTATATCTGATTATGTTTTCTGTAACTTACATAGGCTATCGTTTATACTTAAGTATTCGCATTATATAGATGAAGTATTCAGAAAATTGCATACACTTTCTCGTAGGCCCGAAGAAAGGGTTACTTCATTTTTCGATCGAATTGTACTATGGCAGCCATTAACGCAACACCAATTACCTTAACAGGCAACTCTACACTGACGTGGTGTTCAGGTCGAACGTCTTAAATAGCAGTTGCTTTCAAACCTGTCATTTTTATTGTCAGCCATCCGGATCCAGTCGCGATCGAATAAAAAGGGAAACTAAATTATTCTTCAAACTGGACCGGCATTGTAAATCAACGCGTTTCAACTTTCCCTCGATGCCGGGTTACTTGTCCTCACGTAACCCGCATCGTGTGTCGGGTCATCTTTGTCACGTACTGTCATAACTAATCCTCAAGGACTTCTTTTATCATTATTCTATGAATAAGATTATAAAATCATAGTCACTTAAATACCAAAGGAACGAAGTTACAACACGTAAAAAGTACATGATATTTAATTAAAAATGGACAAGAATCAAACAAAAAATTAAGAGCAAAGCTCAACAAATAATTCCATATTACAGAGTATTAAAAATCTGAGGGTTATGAAAAAAACGCAGTTTCTAACATGCATTGCTAGCCTACTTACATTAATTAAATAGTAATTAAATATTCAAATATTGTATAACACAAAACACAGTGAAAATAAATCACTGAACCGAAGAAATATCATATATTCCATAGAGATTTCAGTGTGACATTAAGCTAGGCCCAAAGAATGCAGGAGTCTCGACTAAAGACGAAAGAAGAAGAGAGAAATCGCAGGGGCTTAGATAAAAAAATAAGAATTTCGAAAGGGACTTTATGCGAAGGAGAAAAAGGGTAACTATGGCGAGGGAAAAGAGAAAGATTCTAGGTGTTCGTATTCGTGGTATCCTGCGGGACCGGTTCGCCCCTGCACTCCCGTTCTGGTGCATGCGTCACATATCGGTGACTGCAGTTCGTCGCGATTGCAAAAAAAGACGGGAAAGAAAAGAAAAATAGAGTGGGCGAGCTTAAGTCCTCGTCAGGCCCGACCCACGTTTGCTATTAACGCGGCGCGTCCCGCGAATCGCGCGTCTTTAAATGTATCGAATTTCGGCAGCGTTCGCTTGGTGCATCGACTGCAGAAATGAATCTCGTTCGTGCCTTCATTGTCGATTCTGAACGTTCCCATGGAAATAATCGGGATCACACGTTTCAAGTTTTAAATAAGTATTGTAAACTAACTAGAAGAATTACTAACTAGATTCGATTATTATTCACTGGTACCTGCAATTCTTTCTATACGAAGTTTAAATGTAGATTTTTCACTCGGTTGCGTCGCCTTATGAATAATGACAAACCTTTGTAACGAATTCGGGTTAAATTTTGAGAATTTGATTAGATTATTGCTTAAATACTTTGATTGAAATCAAACTTTAAGTTTGTATGAGTATTTGTTGCTTAATTATGCCTTGAAATAGCTAATGTTCTATTTAATGTATAGTGTTGAATTATTTAGACAAATCTGAATATATTAACGGCTGCAATTTAGTTCTATACAATATTTATCAAATTTTCTATAACTGATTAAACATGGAACTTGTTCGATTGCTTTTCGTTATTTTATTGAATAAAGAATGCAATTCACTGTATGAATGAAAGGTATTGTTCAAATATTGGCAGTTACACTTTCTGTATTCGCTGGAAATCTGATACCCAAGCTTTAAAATCGTGATTCTAGTCTCTGCTTGTTAATCATCTTAACCGTGCAATTTACCATTCCCTGTCATTCATTGTTATTAAAGCTCCTACTCAGGATTCTAGCTGCGCGTTGCGTAGACTTACGGATCGCTTGCATAACTCGCATAATCGTTGCTCTTCTAGTCTTCAGTCATTTTACGCACGATTCTGAACGCGTGTGTGACTTTTACCTACATGCTCACTAGCTGCAGCCTAGGAGCCGAAGTATGCCAAGGTTGCTGTGTAAACGATGTCGTTTTTACATTTCAACCAATCACGATCGAGGTTTTCACAAAGGATTCATAGTTCCTTCCGAGCGCGTTCAAGTTCATCTTATGCCACGAGTAGTCTTGAAACGTAATAGTAAACATTTGCTCGCAGAAGTTTAGACAAACTGACGATATAATCAATAAACATTTCTACATATTTGCTAATGAATTAAATGTAATAAATCTCTTGAAGTTTGAATCACTGAGAAATAGACTTCTTAAAATTACGTAATCCCTTTTTGTCCATTGTACCATAGAATCACTTAATTTAATTTCAATCTATGCAGATACATTTGTGTCAGCTGTAGCATATGTTGATTACATTCGCATAAGTTTCTGAAATTTTTAAATCCTATAATTCTAACTACGTTGTCATCAGTTTCTAGAATTTCTAAATCTTACAAAATCTTCTGTTTCGTTTGTGGTGATTAAACAAAGGACACTTACATAAGATATCGTTTCTATTTAAATGAAGTCCTTACCATTGTGCGAAGTAAATCGAATCAATTATCCGTTGCTTTTGTTAGAAGCGAAGAATGGACCGTTGTCCACAAGACCCGAGTCTCATTATGTGCGACGATAATGTAATAAAGCCAGTGGGCAACGATAACATAATATCAACGAGGCTTTTATTTATTTTAGTCACCGATTAAACATCGCTACGAAAGGTCTAAAACTCTTCTGGTTGTAATAACGTTCTTTCTAAAGAAGGTGTTGCAACGAGAACGAAGTAGATTCAATTATCATTCAAGTATTCACCGAGAGAAAAAAAAGCTTTCATTCAGGAAAGTTCAAGGTAAGCTGGAATATATGCGCAAGGTCGAGGTTTAGAAATTCCGTGGTTGTTGAGTTACTCGTTAGATCGGTCGTTTGCTTATCCGTTTAATTATCTACGAGGAATAAAACTCTTTTTACTTTTATGTCCCCCTTCCTGCTCGAACGTGTACACCTAATTCGAATGTGGGCAGCATGAACTAATCACGCTGTGGGTTTAGAGCGATTTCAAGGTGCAATCACTATGGCCGACTCTCGTTAAATGGTTATACGATCGATTACCTCACCTAGTAATTCTCTTATTGTCCGAACACACCCACGCGAATCGATTTCGCGATTAAGGAGGGTAATTTTAATTTATTAGGATGCGTCAGAGGTTTAGTCGAACGTAAACATGGTAGATGTATTTTAATTAGCTACCTCTGAGTCAAGGGAAAACGTGATTCACTAGAAATCGATGTTCGTTAATTTTTACAAAGTCTATAGAAAAATTTTACTTGGGAATGATTAATTTCAATTTAAGCTTTCGTTAATGGCCTTGAAAAAGATCTTTGCAATTGTGCTGCATCTGTGTTTTAATCTTTGAGAAGCGATTGAACACTGTAGCCTTTAATAGAACACTTTTGCCGGAGAGGAAGAGTTAAATCTTTCGCCAATAAACACAATAGTCAATATCCAAGGCGGTCATTGAATTACTTGGCCGCGTTAAGGCTTCCATTACGCTGTCGGTATTTTTAGATTCTTAATTGAACGGTGGACTAATTAACGACGAAGATAACATAATTACAGATATACACACTATCAACTATACATTAACAGACTTAATAGGTACCAAAATTTTTGTGTTCGATGTTCTTCATTATGCACCGAGCGTACTTGGAACAGCTATTTTATAACTTAATTATGTAGATAAGTAGACCGCGTAGGCTCACGCCCAGTATTTCCATACCCGACATTCTGTAATTACAGATTATAGCGTAATAAATACACCACGAAATCTTCATTTTCATGTTTCTGTTCATTGTACCATTCCCCGTATATCTTATAGATTCGAACGATCCAAGAATTCATTTTATTAACAAGAGGTAAAAGTAAACTGGCAATTACTATAAATCAGTATTTTCAATCGATAACAACGGATACTGATTTCTCTTTATTTCCTATACCCGTCTCAGGAGAAAACGAAATATTTCATCGAAAATTACGCATTTATATCAGGAATAAGAATTCAAATTTTACGTGTACGAACACAGAGAAAGTGGATTGTAAATTTGATTTCTAAATATAAACTTTATGGATCTCCCGATGTTAAAAGGATTTTTAACAACTTTCATGCGTCGTCGATAAGGTTTATAGATAATAAAAATCCGCGATCTAATTAGAGTGAAACATAAACAATACAGCATACCCGCGTTGTACGCACCGTCGAGCGTATAAAAAGTTGCGGTGGCAACTGTGTTACCTGGTTTAATAACTCCTCGGTTGATCGGATCAGTTACTGACTCTCTTGCGCCACTGTTCAAAATAGCTCGTGACCACTGACCTCGATCTCGTGAATACGTTCGCATCATCGTCTTTCCTTAACGATTCGATAATGAATCTCGAACGATGACACGATAATAACGCTGCATCCTGATCGATTATGTAATACGTTTCATTCGCCCGTTTCCTATATGAAACGGTCGCGTGAACTTTATCTCTATGATCTTCTCGATCGCGACGAGAATATATATATTCTTTACTGCTTCCTCGGTCTCACCTGATTTCCATGTTTCCTTTTTCAGGGGGATTGTGGGTGCACCGATGGCCGCAACCGAGCAAGAGGGTGTCTACAGAGGCGGTAAAGTTTATAGATGCGACATCGCCGCTGATAACACGTGCTGGCCGATCCGTTTCGACACGAGCAGTAAGCATTTTTATATGTATTTAAGAAAAAACCGTTACAATGATGTTTCCTTGTCTTGACTCGTATGGAAATCGGAGAGACGATAGAGGAGAGTGTTGAATAATTAATTACAGTACAGCAGAGATTTTTTTGCTTGTATTACCGATTAATCTTCATTGAATACATTTATTAAATAGTTGCGAATTTTACTCATCACTTTTCACGTTCCAATAAAAAGAGATTAACACTAGAACTACCGATCACTTAAACTGACTTTTACTTTCTCCATAAAAACCGCAAGCGTGCGTTTATTAATATTTCAATTGAGTTGTTTTTCAGTTTTGCTATTACTCAATTAGTTTCGTTGATCATTTTTCGCAGAAGTATCTATACGTCTTTAGTAATTGTAAAACAAGAGATCAGGAATAAGTTATTTTAACCCATCTGGTAGTTTTAGTGTTAAAAGCAGAATGAATATAAGTGACAAAAATAGGAAGTAAAATTTATCATCTCGTTAAAAATTTTAGTTATCCACCTTTCTAGCCATCTACTGAATATTCCATTAAAATGCTCTAAGTGTTATTAATTACTATCAAATTAGCCTCGAATCACAGTCGAATACCATCTTCCTCAGCCCCAAACGTAAGAACTCTCAAAATGTCTACAGTTAACACATTGAATGCCGCACGATTTCACAGAGCAAAATGCACAAAATGGGAAAAATATGATATTAAACCATTTGCTTGAATTGCAGTCTTATCATTGCACATTGATACAGCTGAATGGCACCGCATTAGGTAGCATTATTTATGACGTAGAAATGTTTTCAGATAATCATCGTTTAATTCGATTTGCTTGGGGGTGACCGGTGACACGGTCATTCAACGCGTTAAAATCTCCGGTTTACAAATCTGTAGGTGTGAATCTCAAGAAAACCGTCGGAGCCGATCGATCGAATAATAGACTTTCGGCCGGTATCGCGGAAACAAGGACAAATTAACTGTTCCAGCCTCTCTGGACTCGATCCGATATCTGTTTTCCGGTTCTTTCCTCCACTTGCACTCTCTCGCACTTGCCGTGGGCTTCGAAAGGTACCTCAACGTAGTGTTGCTAACGAGGGCTCGTATCTCGTGTTCCGCGGGCTGCCCGCAGTCGCTGACCTACATTCCGGCTTTCCACCCGCTGTCAGAGCCCCCTGAAGAGCTTCGTAATCTCAGGAACTGCGGAGTAACCGACCGACTGGTTATAGAACATTCTATTCTCGGCGCCGTTCCACCCACCTTGCCGTTGTCCCTTCCATGTTTCAAGGCTCTCTTGGTTGCGAGCTTACGGATATCGATTTCAAATACTTTTCCTCGCGCGATTATTAACCTGTTAACTCTTAGGTAACGAGTCACTGCATCTCGTTTGACGGTGTGTGGGTGACACGACGTGGCGCTTAGAGACCGAACAGCCACGGCTGTGACGAAACTTGAAACGAAATCGACTTCGTTGAAGGAGGAACGTTGGGAGGAAGGATTATGGGTGGTTTGCGAATGTTTGTGTATTTCTATATTTATGTTCCATTTTGGGAAGTGCGATAGAGGTAGGAGATAAGGTTTTATAAAAGTTTCGTGTTACGTTTTATCTGAAGAGATTTTGCAAAAGAAACGAGTATAACTATGGCGAATGACTAAATTCATTTCGCGAGGGTACGTTGAGGTTGTTTTGTCGTGTCACTTGTATTCAGTCGAGACAGTTTTATTTTACTTTCAATCTGATTAAGCTTTCATCGTTAACACGTCGACCGCTATGAGAATTTAGAGCGTTTCGTAGGACATTATTTATCGTATTGTAACAAACACAAATGGTATTAGAAACAGTTACTAATAGTTTGGTATCATAGTTCTTAAGTTGTACTATTATTTAATTACTCAGGTCACTAAACGTTTTAATTCAACATCAGTTCTCTTCTTATAATTGTTCTCAAGTAATTTGGATGACAAGTAACTTAATTTGTAGAAATCCATATTTCCATAAATAATACTTCAGTGCTATTAATCGAACGATAAAACTCCGGAAACAATTTGTTCTATTTTTAACTGAGTCCAAACAATGCATACCTTCTTCTTCTTATCGTATATTCATCTTCCTCTCTCTCTCCATCGTATCTTAAAATATTCAATCAAAAATAGAACGCGCTCCAAGAGAGACCATAATGTCTTAATCCCAAGGGAATGAACAATGTAAGCGAAACAAATGAAGTCACGATCATGCATGAATTTCCGCGTAGACAGCCATTCAAATTAATAATCACGCGCGCGCGATACGATCTTCCGCTCGGTGCGCGCGGCGCGGCCGCGAAGCCGACGCTGACGCGCCGATGCAAATTAGTGGAATCATGCCGGCACGGATTAGACATGCTTACACACCTCGTAACGCCGGTATCTTGGCGATCGAACACGATTCCGGACCCATAATTTGCCCGCGAGAAAGTAATTGACCGCTCGGAAGGCAATCGGCAGGAAATCACCGGCGCAGCGCGCCGCCGATTTCACGTTATCTTAGCGGGAGCGTGCTGCATCGATCTCAGCTGTCAGATTGAGATAAAGTGTTGATTAAGACGCAAGGATGTTTCGTTATTCGACCTATTCGTCTTCGAACTAATTATTTCCATGAATGGAGGGATAGCTTTCTGAGAGAATTCGAACGAGTTACTTTTGTCTTCGATCTAAAGAATCGAATATAGATTTGTATGTAAACGTTGTTGAAGTGCTTGACTCATTCGCTACCAGAATTTCTTTCGATAACAGTCTCCGCGGTTAGAATATTTGATTAAATGAAGCATCTCATTTTTATATAATATAAATGACAGTCGAGAAAAGAAATCTCTTCGACTTCCTGCTTATTATACCATGCATTACAATATTAAATGAAAATGCGTAAATGTAATTTACTCTTCCTTCCACGAAATATGAAACATTGATCGTTGTAAATACAACGTTGGTAGCGAACGTGTCAATTAAATACTTTCTTAAGTTTCCCACAATATAGAGATTTTTAACTAACAATTACGTTCTTATTTGTGTGAATTGTAAAGAACATAGTTCATTTATTGTATGATAAATTCAGCATGTTATTTGAATGTTGCCATAAAATATTAATTTCTATCTTAAATCAAGAAATTCCTGTAAACTACGTCTATATATACTGAGACTAGAATATATTAGAACCGTTCTCTCTTGTGATTCGCTTGGATTGTCGACAAAAGTTCCAGTCATTTAATTATTCCGCCAGAATTGCAAAGTGTCTAGTGCTAATTCTTGTCAGTCTGAGTTGAAGAATACTATGGTCCTTCCTATTAGTTTGCACGGATGGAGGATGCTCCTATCCCCTTCTCCCTATTAACGCAGACTCGGCGGAGGCCTCCTCGCTTGATAGAGAAACGTTTTCACCGACTACATATACAAGATCATGCCCCACGCTACGTCCAATTAGCCGGCTCTCTTCCTTAGTCAACGCTGTTCGCCCGGACACTTCGCTTTGATCGATAATTAGCTTGGCTGAATGCTCGATCTTGTCTCGATCTTATCCAATTACAGTCGTATTTGATAGTCCTAGCCATTTATTACATTCACGGCTCTCGCGTACACGCTGACAGTCTCTGCCCGTTTCGACGAGAAATTTTTACAAAGAAAATTATTTTCTTGTTTGGAACGAAAATTATCCTTTCATCGTTTCCCTTCGCTTGGTTCCAACGAAACAACGGTTTACGAGGAGAATCGTGTTCTTTCGTTAATCACAGGATACCCGGTTCGTTTTGTCTATTACATGATAACGGATTTCGTTGCGGCTTACTGGAAACCAACTTCTATCAAGCGTTCCTGTATTACGTAATGTATGTAATAAATATTTGATCCTATATTATTGGAAGTTCTGTCTTACTTTCTTCACTTTGTATTGAAGCTACTGTAATTAAGTTAATTGCTTCTTGTGGGAAACATTGATCTCAATTAGCGGTATTTGATAATTACTTTCTAAAGCTACCTATAATAGGATCAAGATAGTACAAAAGAATTGAAGTGTTTGAAGACTTTTTAACCTACATTAACTTAATTGAACATCTCCCTATTTTTATATACTAAAACAGAGCAAACTATATCTAATCTCCTATCATCTAAATACTCAAACTATCTCTTTAAAACTTCCAACCCCAAACACAAAATCTCGAAAGTAAATCTCCTACTATTTCCACATTTAAATAATAAAAGAAGAAAACCATAACTAATCTTTCATTATTTAAACACTCAAACTTTAAAACTTTCAACCCCAAGTACAAACTCCCAAAAACGAATCTCCTATAATTTCCACGTGTAAGTAATAAAAAGGAAAACCTTATAGTTTACATTATTTCTATAATCTTCCATCAATCAAATACTCAAACTATCTCTTTAAAACTTCCAACCCCAAACACAAAATCTCGAAAGTAAATCTCCTACTATTTCCACATTTAAATAATAAAAGAAGAAATCCATAACTAATCTTTCATTATTTAAACACTCAAACTTTAAAACTTTCAACCCCAAGTACAAACTCCCAAAAACGAATCTCCTATAATTTCCACGTGTAAGTAATAAAAAGGAGAACCTTATAGTTTACATTATTTCTATAACCTTCCATCAATCAAATACTCGAACCATCTCTTTAAAACACTCAACTCCACAAAATCTAAATACCATTAACTTCCATAAATCTCCAAGGATACAAGGGTTGAAACAGTCGCACCAAGATCGAATGGATTCCGAACCCTCGATCCCAGCAATGCGTTCAGTCGATCCGGCCGTTCCTTCTACAATATCTTCGATTCCGTTTGCGTACGAGGAAGAGACTCGGATATCTCGTACAGGTCTCGGAGGTCACTCACTTCTTCGGGTGCTCGACCGAAGAAGTCTTGAGGAACTCCTCCAGGTACACCCCACGGAGAGTGTCAGAGTGGCGCGGTGGGCCGTCTCGAGATACCGGGAACCGTGTCCGCGCAAGAAGCCGGCTCTACCTAATACAGAAAACCGTAAGGTCGTTCTACCGACGGCCCTGCCCCGCCGAACGTTCGGCATTTCTTGCAGAATGCCACCTGAGGATCCTTCGGGGAAGGTCGGTCGCGCGCGTCGTTCGATTCCGCGCGCGGTTAATTGACATCCCCCTTAATGAGTGCGGTAATCGGTGAAATAATTGGACCGCGATAAACCCGGCCGACTTTCGCCCGTGAACGATAGATAATTTCGTAATTGATCCTCATTAGGAATCGGTCGTGCGCTCGGTTTATCAGCGATTTTAATTGACAGGGGAGGTTTTCAATCCGCGCGGGCCGAACGGACGCGCACGGGGACATTTTAATGCGCGAGAGAGATCTAATTAGGGATACGGTTCCCCTGGTTTCTGGTATCGAGTGCATTCGTTATTCGAACCGAAATCCGTGTAATTATTTCATTTCGTTGTGAATTATTAGTGGCGTTTAACGGCGATTGGAGGGTATATGGGATTGAGGGTTTGGGTACTTTTGATTAACATTGTGAATACTGTTTGAACGAGGTACTGGATTTTGTAAGTACTTTTGCTGCGTGATGTTGGTAACTTATTTTTATTTCATTATACAGCAGTATATATGTATTGAAATTTTCTATTCATATTAATACGCTTCTATCGGTATTCAAATTTTTACTAATATTTCAAATTCTAAAGCTTTTGTGGAGATTTTTCATGGAATATTTTGATTCTTGTTTTTTGTCAATTATTACTGAAGTTTGAATATTTGTAAGATTAAAATGATTTGTTAGTAATACTCAGAGGTTCACAATGCTCGTCATAATGCTGTCGTGAATGGGAGACTCATCCGAACGTTGCCTTTAATAGCGCTCGCGAATTAGGGGTGGGATGCGAAGGACAACTTCCCTTTAAGGGCCACACTTGACCGATACGGCTAACGGGTTCATTCCGTTCGGAAAATCGACGAAGAAAACCGCAGGGTGCACTTGCTGGGAATTCTCTGCGGTGACACCTGCTCAGGGCTCGGTTCTTAAAGGAATACCTGGATGACGCATTGTAATCGCCATTTACTGCAGATTATTTCTGTATCGATCCGTTATATGACAATCGTAAAATTTAAGTTTCAATTCGCATATGAAATTCTATAAAGAAATATATGTCTTCGTAAATTGTGAATATTCCTTGGGCATTCGTATTGATTTTTAACCGTTTGCGGACGAATGTCGGCGTTTTACTGAGATCAAACTTCCATGTTTCGAATATGAAGTTGCGAACAAATGATTTCACTATTCGAACAGCAAGAAATCAGTACACAGTTTCCTTATTCTCCATGATTTAAGCAGTCAGTGTTTAATTCAGCAAAATCTGCAAAAGGTTTTGTATACTTTCAACAGTCTTCGTCCGCAAAGGGTTAATTCATGAAAATGGGAATTCGAAATTACATGGTTTACTTGTCTGATTGCAGGAAATAATTATGTTAGAAATCCGAGCGTCGCGGGCGGACTAAGTCAGATCGATAATAAGACACTTCAATGGTTTGGTGCAACGGTATCATCTTCCTCGGTTGATGGAGGTCCAATTTTGGTGAGTATAATTAATTGATTTATATTTAAAAAGAGAAATCTGTCGAATAAAAAATTGCAGGCTACTCTTTGCAGAATAGAATAGAGTACAATGATGTTGCGTCGGTGAATTGAAGGAATAACAATGTTCAAAACGTCTGACGAGCATAGAATTTTCTATTAATAGGGCGGTAGAGCCATACTGTACACGACAAATCTTTTAGTGCTCCTTTTTCACATCTCAAACGTATTTATAAAGGTACAAAAGCAGTCGTTACGAATAGATGAAGGGGTTTTGTGAGAAATTACAGGCGCATGTTCCCAGAAGACCGCGCCTTCTATTTCAGGAATCGAAAACAAACGGATTTCTGTTAAATTCTGTTTCCGTTCGGCCGTCTACCTCATTCTTCCTGTTTATATTACAAATTTCTATGAAAACTAACCATATAATTTATTCCAAAATTAATAAATTTGCAAAAATTGATATAGACATTCATTTAAGTTCAAACAATTATTCCTCTCATATATAAATCCTAAACATACAACTTCTTTTCCATAACAATATAGAGAAATCGATATTTACCAGAAGATTACTCACAAGCAGAACTCAAAACTATGCAAATTCACATTTCTTGTAACTAATCAACAATAACAAAACTTAAGTTAACATTCTGAAACTCTTCTATAGAATCTCCGGGAGTGCATGTATCAAGACTTTAACTCATACTTCAGTTTGCATATTGCTAAATAATTTCTGTAACATCTCAAAATGATCTTGAAAATAAATAGCTTCACTTGAATACTATAATGAATATCCGAAGAAACCGACAATAATCTATTGTTACAATTTTTATAGAGATTACATATCAATCGTATTAAATCCTCGGTAGCTCTAATGTTACTAGATTTACGGATATCTATTATACAGTTTGTTCTATCGTTCTTAGAAAAATTGATACTCCTTCATTTAGATTTCAGAAATTCAAAGTTCGAAAGTAGACAATTATATATTTGCGTAATTGCATCAATCAAAATCGACCAGAACATTTACTAATGTTTATAAAATTCAATATTAGTGAAATTAACTTCTGTAAATCTATCGTTAAGTCAGCACGCTGAATTTTTCATTCGATCGCCACAAGATCTCTTACACACGAGCTTCACAATTTTGCTTCTCGAGCGTGGTCCCGATATCAATCTATTTCGAAGATCCGCGCCCTTCTCGGAGGGCCCGAGCCGTCCCCTCCTCCCCTGTGATGGGAAGCCGGCTTCCTATGATCCGTCGCCGCCCTTATCTTTACGTGCGTTGCACTCGGCCGCGCGCGTACACGCACTGCTAGACCTATTCCGCACGCATATGTGCATGCGGATCACGCGCGGCTGCGGTGCGCCGGGCGGGAAGATTGAACGGGGAAAGAAAAAGGAGCGAGCCGCGGAACCGACCGGGATTTTTCGACCGCGGTAACGCGCCGACGGTCCTCCGCTGTTTGTTTAGCAGTTCATAATTGGATTCAGAACGATTTTATGGCTACTTTATTGCCCTACCTGGGGGTTTTAACGCGCATTATGAATTTTTATGGTGGTAGTTGAATGGAGGAATTATTCTAAACGTACAATGAAATTCTGAGAATCAATTAGAATTATCGTCGAAATTTGTATAAGTACTGTATCATTATCGAAATTTCTTGTTTTGTATTTTATAATTTTATCTTATTGTATATTCCGGGAGTTTATGGGCAGTGATTTTTGAATGCATTAACCCTTTGCGGACGGACGTCGGCGTTTCGGTGAGATGAAATGTTCAGATCTGGAAGACTGAGTCGTGGACAAATGATCTAATTAGTGAAACAGCAAGAGATCAGCATATAGTTTTCTCTTCTTATATTAATTAATTGATATATAATTTAGCTTCATGTGTTGGTTTTGTATGTTTCGAAGAATCTTCGTCCGCAAAGGGTTAACTCTTAAGGGACCGGAGGTATAAAGTTTACTTACCGCCAAACAGTACCGTAACGTAGATCCTAAGCGGAAAGAAGTGCGCAAAGTGACTAGCACAGTAGTCAACGTGTTAAGTGTTAATATTACAATACTAGCAGTGATAAAAGTAATAAAATGATTTGTGCCATATATGCGGCATTGGAGTGAATAAAAGTGGCATTGGTCCGTTAAGAGTTAAGTTTTGTATTGTAGAAATTACGTGTTCGTAAGTGTTTATAATTGTAAGGTTCCTTTGAAGGAATAATTTGATTAGACTCTATTTTTGTCGAATAGAATATGAATCACTGTTGAATAGATACAGTTCATAGTTTCTCCAAAACCGATTAGAGAAATCGGGATCGTTCGGTCATCGCCGTGCAGAATGGGATCCTACAAATAAGAGGTAGCCATTTTCTATGTGAGAGACATATTAGTGACAATTATCGTTCCCATGCTCGCGTAATTTTCACATAACGAAACGTCGCCGCGACATTCCCGTCCTCCTGGCCGCGGAATTATGCGGGAATTATCTACTTACTCCAGAATGCGAGCGCACGTTCCGCAATAAATACCGCCGCAGGTTTTTCCACGATTATTCTTTCTCGCTTTCTCCAGCCTACTGCGGGCCAGCATGATACGCGAATTAAAGATAAGTAATTACTGGTGACGCGGGCACGGCAAGCTATTTTCTCGGTGGCGTCGCGTCGCGGAAGCTTCTAAGGTCTGTTTTCAACAATTTTGCAATCGCTTCAGTCTTCTTGCAAAGTTTCTTTCAATCGTCTGCGACAGCGATCGCCATTGAAATGGAATTTCACAATGAAAACTTTAACGTCAAAGATTAAAATCGTGATAAAATAATTACAAAACTTGATATTTTGATATTGAAAACAAAAATAATGATAGAGCAATGATACAATTTGATATTGAAAAGGTATATTTTTGTAAAATCATTTTCAAGTCTTTGGAAAACCAAAAGAGCTATATTGTAAACATATTTTCTACCTGATTTCATACAGTAAAACTTTGAAATTTGATATTTAATATTATACCTTGCATAACGCAGCAATTTGAGAAATATTAAAATAAAATAGCTTTGTTCCTCAATGTATGATTTCTCTTCCAGTTAGTTTTACAAAATATCGTCTTTATCTCATCAGAAAATGTTGAAATATTTCTAGTGAAAAACTTCCAAGTGCAAAGGGTTAAAAAAGATAAATAATAGTTTTATTTTTCAAGTACCTTCATTATAATTCTTCTTTCACTGTTTCGTATTCACGATGAATTGCACGTTAAAAGTATCAATATCGTTATGTTATATTATGAGGAAATAGTCTATGTACTAAAAATACTGGAGAACAGTGAAAAGTAAAAGCGAATCGAGATGGAATCGTATAATTCAAGTTAATTAACGAGACTATCCCGAAACGAGGGGTTGACCTCCAGTTTTCGGCACCCATCAAACTTGCCGGTGGACGTCACTTATACGTGACGAGAATAACTTCTTTGGGCTGTATCGTTTTAGCGCCATAGACGACGCGTCGAAGCATTTGGTGCGATTATGCATGAACCTCACGTTTCCACCTCCGGTCGTAAAAGGAGACAGGACGGGGCTTCTACTCAGTCACACTATTAATTAACAAAAACTTGAATCTCTATATAAATACCGTTCTCCAAATTCCGATCGTCGCTGATACACGCGTGTGCGTTCAATCTCAGAAAATCGGTGATTGTTTGTTTATAAGACACGAATTCTCCTTAGATACTGAAAACAAATAAACTTGATAAAATTAAGTGTATCTAAGCGAATTTAATAGAGTAACTCTATGTATGTACACAGTATAAAGTTAAATTTTGAGAAATTCTCATTGCGAGGGAAACATTTCTATAGATTTCTCAATCAAATTTATAATAATACTGTTCGACAAATGAAGAGACAATATTTATTCTAAATTCAGTAAAAATATTTGTCAGTTATAAATAGATGCACGTTGCAACGAACAAAGTGCAAGATGTTTTTAAGAACATACCGAAGACAAATTGCGTTACTTCTTACAAAATACTACCGACAAATTGCATTCTTAATACGCTTCGTTGCAAGCATCGACAAGTAGTAACTATGGACCGATAATCACCGGAATAATATCGAAGAAGAATACAGTGTACGCTATTTCTTTCGGTCTCTGTCAATCGTGGAGCATAACCACAGAGAGACGCTGCAGGACGTCCGTTTTCTGACCAGAAGCAATTTACTCGAGTTGCATCGAGTGGCACGCAAGAACTCGTATCGTGCCTGTATTAATGCACGCGTGAATACACGCTTCTGTTTGACAGGAATAACTGGCGATACCATCGTCGATCGTGCATGAAGGGAATTACGCAATTTGTTTTTAAATAGTTACGGATAAGTAACGGTTTGCAGAAAAATTCTTCCTTTGGACTTTGAGGAATTATAATTTCACGATTACTACAATACAATCTAATAGAATTTATTAAGTAGAATAAACGAGCATAACTATAGAATGTTTTCAAGATTTATCTGACGATAAAGATAAAATAATCTTACTATACTAACTAATAAATATTATACTAAATGAAAATATATATTTAGTAGAATTGTAATAATATTAGCTTGAGTTCACAGTTTTCAAAAATAATGGGTCATGCAACTGATTATTTAATGGTTCTATTTTGATGAAATTATATTTTTTAAATTCTTTAACTGTTGGAATTAAATCTCGTATAGCATTATTTTGTTCCTACGCTAAATAAACTGGTCTCATATTTCCATCTACCATTGGACTGTCGTTGCAGCGTTTTTTGCAGTCATCCAATTCAGCGATGTTTCTTCGACCTCTTCTTCCTTCCTCCTCTTTCACCTCTTCTTCGTCGTACTTGTTCCCTTTCGCGATCCGCCGACGTTTCGGAGATACAGCTCCTTGATTACTGCCAGATGTTTCTCGCTTCCGACCTTTCTCTCTTTTCTCCTTTCTCCAAATAAGAGAATCGGAGCTTTTTTGCGACGTTCGGGACGATTTCTTATCCGAT